TTAAAGTCAGAATTCTGGGGAAAAAAAGTCGGAATTCTGAAAAAAAAAAAGTCAGAATTCTGAGATTAAAGTCAGAATTCTGAATAAAAAAAGTCAGAATTCTGAGATTAAAGTCAGAATTCTGAGAAAAAAAGTCGGAATTCTGAGATTAAAGTCAGAATTCTGAAAAAAAAAAGTCAGAATTCTGAGATTAAATACAGAATTCTGAGGAAAAAAAGTCAGAATTCTGAGATTAAAGTCAGAATTCTGAAAAAAAAAAAAGTCAGAATTCTGAGATTAAAGTCATAATTCTGGAGAAAAAAAAAAGTCAGAATTCTGAAAAAAAAAAAGTAAGTATTCTGTGATTAAAGTCGGAATTCTGAGATTAAAGTCAGAATTCTGAGAAAAAAGTCAGAATTCTGAGAATAAAGTCGGAATTCTGAGATTAAAGTCAGAATTCTGGAAAAAAAAAGTCAGAATTCTGAGATTAAAGTCAGAATTCTGAAAAAAAAAGTCAGAATTCTGAGATTAAAGTCAGAATTCTGGGGGGAAAAAGTCAGAATTCTGAGATTAAAGTCAGAATTCTGGAAAAAAAAAGGTCAGAATTCTGAGATTAAAGTCAGAATTCTGACCTTTTTTTTCAGAATTCTGTGATTAAAGTCGGAATTCTGAGATTAAAGTCAGAATTCTGAAAGAAAAAAAAAGTCAGAATTCTGAGATTAAAGTCGGAATTCTGAGATTAAAGTCAGAATTCTGGAAAAAAAAAAGTCAGAATTCTGAGATTAAAGTCAGAATTCTGAAAAAAAAAGTCAGAATTCTGAGATTAAAGTCATAATTCTGGAGAAAAAAAAAAGTCAGAATTCTGAAAAAAAAAGTAAGAATTCTGTGATTAAAGTCGGAATTCTGAGATTAAAGTCAGAATTCTGAGAAAAAAGTCAGAATTCTGAGAATAAAGTCGGAATTCTGAGATTAAAGTCAGAATTCTGGAAAAAAAAAGTCAGAATTCTGAGATTAAAGTCAGAATTCTGAAAAAAAAAGTCAGAATTCTGAGATAAAGTCATAATTCTGGAGAGAAAAAAAAGTCAGAATTCTGAAAAAAAAAGTAAGAATTCTGTGATTAAAGTCGGAATTCTGAGATTAAAGTCAGAATTCTGAGAAAAAAGTCAGAATTCTGAGAATAAAGTCGGAATTCTGAGATTAAAGTCAGAATTCTGGAAAAAAAAAAGTCAGAATTCTGAGATTAAAGTCAGAATTCTGAAAAAAAAAGTCGGAATTCTGAGATTAAAGTCAGAATTCTGAGATTAAAGTCAGAATTCTGGGGAAAAAAAGTCGGAATTCTGAAAAAAAAAGTAAGAATTCTGAGATTAAAGTCAGAATTCTGAATAAAAAAAGTCAGAATTCTGAGATTAAAGTCAGAATTCTGAGAAAAAAAGTCGGAATTCTGAGATTAAAGTCAGAATTCTGAAAAAAAAAGTCAGAATTCTGAGATTAAATACAGAATTCTGAGGAAAAAAAGTCAGAATTCTGAGATTAAAGTCAGAATTATGACTTTTTTTCCCATACTAAACTGAAATAAAATTTTAAAATCAGTTAACTTTTTTTTTTTCAGTGGCCCTAATTCTCTTCCAAAATAATGTTAGCTAATTCACTACCGCAATTTATTCAGTATTTATGGTTAATATGCAAGCATAAAAATGTTAAGTTAGGACTTTCTACTTAAAAGTATAATTGTTATAATATCCATATGGACACTAATTACCTGATCTGCACTGAATAAAAATTGTTCATGCATCTTTTGCATCTACTCGCTAACATGAAACGATAGAGTAACTGAACACGATAAAGTAGATGTAAAAAATACCTGAATTATTCTTTGTTGGATGTTGGAATACATCGGGTAAAAGTGAAAAAAAAAAAAAAAAAAAAGAGTTATTCCACCTTTCTGATTCCTGATCCTCCACGGACGGGTTGGTCGTTGGATCGCCAACTTGAAGAGGGAGGATTTGCCATCGAACTTCTGGCCAGAGAAAAAACCCGTAATATGTAGCCAACATTTGGAAGAAGAATGTTTTCAAGATGACTTGGATAATAGCGCGTTGTGACAAACACCAGATACAGCACTGGGACTTGATCAACAGCCGATACCGCACCGTGACGTCACCAACCAGTAGGTGGCAGTAGTGTTCTTTGACAAACATGGATGCCTCCAGTAAAGCACATTCACATGAAAATTACTCTGAATTAAAAACACTGATCATTTATTGAACAGGATAATAACAGCACCCTCCTTCGAAGGAGGGTGCAGAGAATATAGGAGCTGTCCATCATCAGTGTGTAATATTTTAATTAAAGGGGATGTGGGGATCAAATGTTGATTATGTAACTGGAACCCCTCCCCTCTGAAGGTAAACCCCTGTTAATAGACAGACAACTTTCTGTTCACTTCTTGTTGCTGGTGGCACAGCTGCTAATGGCTAGACTCTGAGCACATTTCCAGTTTAAAGCTACGCTAAAGTAGCAACCACATCCATCCAGAGAGGTCTTTGCTCGCTGGAAAAACTCAGACTGTCTTCCTCATGCGATTCAGAAGGAGCTGAATGCAGTAAATGCAGGTCTTCAACAGGGGGTCCATGGAGGTACCGCAGGGGGGTCGCGAAAGTTTTGGTTGATTAAACTTTTTAAAAATATTATTCTAATTAAAATGTCTTTAAATACATATTAACATGAATTCAACACCCTGCAGTGAACAGATACTCTTAATTAAAAATACATATAATTTATCGAACAGTATGTAATACTTTCACATTTAAAGTACTTTCAAAAGTTTGAATTCTGAATTTCAGGGCAGACCTACCAGACGCTTTTAGGCGGGAGGTCTAGCGCCCCTAGTGGCTAAAAGTGTATGTAAAAAAACTAAAAACCCTATTCGCTTGATGTAAAATTCTTAATTTAAATGTTGTGGAAATCATCACAACCGATTAAATAATTATTTAATATAAATATTAAAGGTATGATGTAAGCAATTATTGTACCCCATAATCATGATCATGGTGTTTTACAGTCCCAGCAATAAATTAACCTTATACTTCAGAGGCTCATTACGGCAACACATTTCGGATATATTCTGCAGGCTTTCTGCATGGGCACATCTTTAAGCCGCCCACTACTGCTACATTCACACCGGACGCAGCTGGAGCAGCAAAATCGCGTCTGCTGCTTCATTTTTGCTGCTTGTACCAGTTAGTTCTGACGCGCGGCTGAAGCAGCTTTGCTGCTCTGGCTGCGCGGTGCAAAAGTGTGTCTGACGCACGTTGGGCGGAGCTTCGCTATCATTTCTTTGCCTTGCAGCTATATTTGCTGTGATCAGTGGGAATAAAGTAGTTTTAATATGTTTTTAAGTGAGAAAATCCACCTGAAAACTTAATCAGTGCAGTCAGTTCATCCAGATTACCATCCTGCCTTCCAATATTATTTCTGTCGGAGCCGCTCAGACCCCCACATACCAGCGGTGCGCTGTCGGTAGGATCCCATTCAACAGCAGCCTCTGGGCGGGTCGCCTCCTCGTGGTTCACCGCGGCGGCTGGTAGGTGTTTTTCATCAAAATAATCCAGACTGCAGGCAGCAGGATAATAAAAGCGAACATATTCTGACGGCAGATTTCTACATTTTAAGTTAATTAATAAACTGTTTCAAAGGAGTGATCACAGCGCTCTGTGTCATCAGCGATGTGTCTCTCTCCCTGTCAGCTCCAAGATCAGCTTCTCTTATTGGTTGACGCGGCGCGTCGAGCAGTAAAAGTAAAATTTTTCCATCTGGAGCAGCCGCGTGTTGGCGGCGCGTCAGATGCTTAAATGCTCCCAAAGCGCTGCGCCTGCTGCTCAAAACGCGCTGCGGGACCTTTTGCTGCGCCTTGACGCGCGTCAACCATTGACTTTGCATGTAAACTCGCTGCTTCTGCTGCGTCCGGTGTGAACGCAGCATTACAGATGAGATGCAGCCAATCACAGGTGAGACGCTCGTTCCTTCCAGAACATGCATGTGATTCACTTCACAACAGAAAACTTTACTGTTTCTTTAAACTTCTACTCAAATTCAGCTGCTGAGCTTTGGTCGCCTCTGATGTTTGATTTGACCTTTTTTCCCTTCGTCTCGTGCTTCTTTACATTTATGATGGTCTGTTTTTAATTCAGTTAATCTAAAATGAGCCCTAGTTTAATCTTTGCATAAACTTTGAAGGCCCACTTAAAGACAACAAAAAATAAATTTTACACCATTTATCCCATGTTTCTACTCGTCGATCGTCTCCGATAAACTAAAACCAGACGTTAAGGCTTCAATCATTGCCTAGTGATGATAATAATAAAACATTTTTTATTTGTATAGCACTTTTCTAAATACTCAAAGACACTTTACAAGGAGAGAGAAAGCAACAATGAAAACATGTCAGGAATAAAAAATAGAAACAACTTTAAAAAGAGGAAAGACAATGACAGCAGAATTGTGGGTATTTTTAACAACCATCATGTTAGCGAGATAAACTAACTACATGCTGGATCCATGAATTATTCATCAAATTCAACAGTTGACAAAAAGACTAAAGTTAACAGAAGTCAATCCTGATTGGCTGCTGACCAACAGTCAATAATCTGTTCTTTGTAGTTTTTTTTTTTTTTTATAAATACAGAGACTAGGTTTGAAGCTGAAGGCCGGGCTTTGGCCGCGCTGCTGAGTTCAGTCCGGTCCGCTCTGGTCGGGGGTCCCTGGCTGAGAATCAGGGCCGATGGAGCAGCAGTACGTCTCTGTAGCTAAACTCTGTAACAGTCAGTTTGAATCATAGACGCGTCGTAACGCCCAGCGAGGACGTGGCCCCCTTTAGCTGTGGTCCCAGTGCTTTGACATGACGGGATTCCTGATGCACAATATACACGGCGGCCGCTCTCCAGCACGCCAGAGGAACACCGCTTTCGCCTTCCTTACTGTCCAGGATCTGCATTTATCAAAAACACAGACGCACTGGAGCGCTGGAAGAAATCTGTAACATTTTACAACCACTTGGTTCTTGTTCTGGATTTGGGATTGGCTCCTGAAACAAAAGAAAACGTTCTACCTCATTCAACAAAAGGAAAAAGGGTTTGGGAGCACTATTCATAAAGGGAAGGATAGATATTTTCATAACTATGGGGGGAAAAAAGAGGAAGGGGACATAAATTGTCATCAGGATGGGGGGGTGGGGGGGTAAAGACATTTTAACTTATATCCAGTACATGGCATAGATCATACATGAGGGTCAAGGCAACACATTGTTTTCAACCTAACTACTTAGAAATCAATCTCAACTAGTTCTCAACGGGGCCCCTCCCCCATTCCCACACACGGCATTCCCAAGGAGAGGTCCAGAAAGCTGAGGCGGGGGGTGGGGGGGCATTCAGGGGTCCTCCATCCTCATGTGTGGGTGTGGGAGGGGCAGGGTGGAAGAAGAGGCTGCGTTGTTGGCGAGGAGGAGCTCTCACTGATTGTAGAGGGAGCGCTGCTCCCAGGGCATGGCCTGGATGGTCCGTGGCACGGGGGAGGGCTTGAGCGACGGCCCTCCGTTCGGATGTAGAGAGTGGCCTATGGGGTTGATGGTGGGGAGCGGCCGCTGGGGGGCCAAGGAGAAAGTGTCCTGGTGCTTCTGCAAGGAAGGGAGGTGGGAGAGGGGGAGGGGAGGGGCGGGGTGGGGCGGCGTCAGAAAGGGGAGGAGAGAGAGAACCGGATGAATGAGGAAAACATGTCAACATTAGAAGCTTATCTGATGCTGCAGAGAAGCAAACGTGCAGAAGAAGAGGAAGCTTGGAACAAGGAGAGAGAAACAAAAACCAGTTCAACAGGAAGACCAGTTAACAGCAACTGGGAGGCAACTGGCTAAAATAGGTTTCTTTCAAAGCAGGGGACGGTAAATACTGAATTCTTAAAAAGTTTCATAAACATTTCGATCTGCTGGGTTTGGATCCAGACAGATCTCCACATTCAGAATCCATCCTTTTAAACTGGTGTTAAGAATGTTCAGCTGAATGATGCCTGCGCAGTGATGCAACATATCAGCATTAGTTTTAGTTTAGTTAAGCTCTGATGGCGGTGAAACATGCTTTTCTTTAAGCTCCTGAATTCATTGTTTTTATATTCATTAATATGAGAACTAGAAAAAAGTTTTGTGGCGAAATGGTTCCAGGTCAACATTAAAACCAGATAAACTCCAGTTAACAATGAATTGATTACTAAATTAGTTAACGATTAATTAAATAATCAATTAACCTGATTAATTGCTACATCCCCATTGGACCACTGGGCGTATGGATCCGATACGACGGCGACGAAATTAACCTTAAACCAGTGAAGGCGTCGGGCTTCACATAACGATCGTTACAAAAAGAGTTGAAGATGAACATAGATATAAATATAGCAGATATCATTTATTAGAGCAGCAACACTGAACATGTCATTAAAAAGGAAATCTAAACCCAGCTGGATGAGGGTCAGTGATCCATCAGGCTGATAGGTCACTGATCAGAGCATCACCTGCTTCCAGCTACGCTTCATTGATCCTGAATCCCAGACAAAGTTGAGAACAGAGAAATGTTTCTGATCAGAGGGAAAGACAAGCGGCTCCTGATCAGGTAACCAAAGATGGAGGAGTGAGAGCAGATGGTATCAGAGAGCCGTCACAGAGACAAACAATCCCAATGTCAGCTGGAATTTCACCGCCGTTTTCTTTGCAGGTAACTGGGAGTACTGGAAACTACCAGCCAGGAAGCCGCCCTTCAGGACGCCGCTGTTATAACAGGGTTTATACACGAATGAGTAACTCTAATTTAATGCTTTTTAATCCTCTTTTGATGCTCTTAGAAATTATTTTATAGCCATCAACAAATACCATGACTTTCACATATATACATACACATATACATTATATATAAATATTAGGGCTGTCAAACGATTAAAATTTTTAATCTAATTAATCACAAAGTTTCTTGAATTAATTTCGATTAATCACTAGCCTAAATATTATTGAAAAATACACATTTTCTGTTGACTGTTTTCAGAACAGAAAGATAAGCAAGATGGGTATTACATTTAGTTTTTATTAATGACAGCAGAGAATTTAATTCTCAACAATTTTGGCAACTCAGCCGTTGCTGTTTTTTTTTTTTTTAGCAAATACAAGATGGGTGAATTGAATGTTTTTCGTTTAAAACACACAACTTGACTTTTAAACAATTACATGAGGTCATTTTACCTTTTATTTATTCATCTTTCAGCCAGTTGTTAAGGCAAACTAACTGGTTAACATTTCCTGAATGTAAAGCGGACCGTTACTTAATGCCCGGCGTTCGGTGAGGGCGGTCTGACTCATGCCAATCGTAACACCTGATGTTGAAGCGCCAACAAATGAACGCTTTGCATTAAGATGACAATTAAAGCTCGAAGTGCTTCAGTGAAATGTAAAGTCCTTCTTGCAGTTTGAGCAAACCACAACATGTTTATTTATTGTCCCGTCTTTGTTTTTTTTATACTCGAACTGTCCATCCAGCGGGCCAACGGGTTCTTCTGATTCCTCCATCTCGCTCATGTCGGACAATTGTGGGTAAAACAGGCGAGACTGCGTTAATGCGTTAAAAAAAGTATCGCGTTAATTCCAGAAATTAATCATCTCGCTTTAACGCGTTAATTTTGACAGCCCTAATATATATCTATCTATATATCTATCTATATATATCTATATATATATATATATTTTTTTTTTTTTATACTAAATAAAGCATTCTAAATGCCATGATAATCACATCCAATGAATTTTATTGCCAATTAAGGCCTTAATTTAAAAAACCCTCAGAAACCTTGTATAAAGAGTTGGATAACAGGAAGACCTCAAAATTCATTAAGCAAATAAAACTTGGTTAAGAAGTTTTTATTTCTGAGGGTTTAATATAAATTTTTTTTTAACAGCTAAAAGAGGTGGAGAAACAATAAAAATGTCTCCTTTCAAAGCACCAAATGTTCTAGAAACAGATTTCTAGCAGCTGCAACCGAACAGAGCAGGTGCTAAACCCGGCATTGTACAATTTTTTCAATCGTTAAACTCAGCTACAGCTGCATGATCATAACACCGTAGGATGAAACTGCAGGATGCGAGTTCACAGCTCAACATGTTTGTCTTCACACTGAGCAACCAGACGCTCTGATGCGATCTACCTGCTCACACTACCAGAGCATGGGAGCGGAGCCTGGAGAGGCGGGTGGAGACAGCGGAGGAGCGGAGCGGAAGAAATATGGTGGAGCGCAGAGGGGCTTTCGCTCCACTCCAGTTCACTCTGATGCGCTCACAATGTCAATTAACAAATTTGGATTATAAAATTTGTAAAATACCATTTATTTGATTGAAAGTAGTCTCGTGAAATAAATGACTAATTAAATAGGAAACGCGGGACAGCATGAATGGGGTGAGGTGTTCTGTTCCCAGCTGGGAAACAGTGCGATAATTTACTGGCCAGTTAAATAAGACAATCCACATGTATCGGTCACATCATTAAATCAAACGTCGTGTGTCGCAGGGCCCTGGCATCATTACTGGAAGAAAGAAATGTCAGAAAATGCCTTCTGCTGAAAATCTGAGCGAGCGTCGAGTGATTTCGCTAGAGCGGCAGGAAAAAGAAGAAGAGCGCGGAGCGGATTCTGAGCGTCCTGGCTCTACTTTGAGCGGCATCCGCGGCACTCCGCTCTATTCCCATGCTCTCCACTGCACGTCTAAAAACCACATGGGACTGAGCTCCGCAGTGAGATGGCGCTACTCAGACTCATCTATCCGGAAGCCAAACCAGTAGAAGAGGAACATGAAGCTCACACGCGCAATTTGGGCAATTTTGTGCTGAAAGCCCTAAAAAGAAAAGGCAACAACGTATTTGGACAAAGACATGGCTGAGCAAATGTGATTACTACGGTCTGTCAATTTTACAGACAGAACTCCATTTCACTCATTGCACCCCTGCCATGCTTCCGGGTTTTCCTCTAAGTGGAAGAAGAATCCTTGTTTGCCCGCTGAGCGATTTGCTAAAGACCACCTTACGACGGCCGACTGAATTTCAAACATGATTTTCTCCTGACCTCACGATTCCTGACTGGGAGGTGGTCGCCCTTCGTTACCCCCTGTACACTACACCACGCACCATCAGGCTGAAAGTCGGCCCGATCGAAAATTCTGGCACGACTGGAAAATCAGCCCAAAAAAGGCAAAAAGATCGACAGCGATCGCCCGGCTTAATGGAGAGAGGCTGCTAGGCTGGTCTGAAGGAGCCGGAGATCAGAGGAAGAGATGAAACATTAGAAAGAAGCTGGTCAGCAGGCAGAGAAAGGCTCTGATCATTTTAACAGATAATCAGGTTTCTTATTATTGAGAAGGACATGAAAACATCTGCTAATTATTTTAATTGGAATGTAAATAAAAGCATTTCATTGTTATTATGATGCCTCTTCCTCCTTTTACATCTTTTTCCAGGAAAAGTTAAACCTGAAAATCCAAACTTTAGCTGAGTGTGAATATTTACTGAGCAACTAAGAATAAAAGAACAAAGAACATCAAAGAAACAGGAAAGGGAAAGATCAAAGCATATGGATTTTCACACGCAGGAAAATTTTAAAATCTACAGAGACATTAAGGCGCAGAAAAACATGACGGAGGAACGAAACACTTGGAAAGAAATTAGGAGAGAAAGAAAGAGTAATGTCTACTTCTACATGTGTTGTTAGAAGATTGCAGGAACAACACTGCCCCCTAGAGTCCACCAGAATATGACGCACAGCAAGAAAGCCTTCAAATATAAACTGAAAGAGGGGTCGTTAAAGGGAATTGTTGGCCTGGCTGAAGAGGCGGGGTCTTCTGTTCTCCTGTAAAGGGTAGGGGTGTAAATAATAATAATTTTGTATCGATGCATCGATTTTTTTTCTTCCCTCCAGTCTATTTTTATCATTTTGCTGCTGGACGTAATTTTGTCTCCCGCGCTGCAGTTGCGTTAAACCTGTTTTGCCCTCCTACCTCGCTTCCTTTACCCACTACCCCCTTTCCGCTCGCAGTATTTTTTGATGCAAAGCCTTTCAGAATTGATGTCGCAGGGGCATTATTATTCTTCAGTGAATGAGGTTTTCATAGGCCTAGCTGGTGTACAACTTTGCTACTTCTGTTATTTACTGTTGTTTCTCAAATAAAATGTATAACGATATTACAGCTTTTATTGATTTATTTCAAATTTGAAACATTGTCTAGCCTGTAAGGTTAAAAAAATAATTAACCGATTAATCGAATCGAATGGTATGGTCATGTATTCTTCAGTATTGAAAATAATTGAATCGTTGGGTCAGGAAATTGATATTGAACTGAATCTCCGTTATGGGTGTGATTTACACCCCTAGTAAAGGGGTTGGGGCTGCGATGATAGCGGGAAGGAATCAACTCTATCGCTGCATTGTAGGTTTTTGAAAGCTGAAATCTGAGTCCCCCCCCCTCTGTTTAAGGTTGTTTTTATTTCTTAACATAGATGGCTTCCTTCACACCCCTCTCAAACCAACTTTTTTCTTTCAGCAATTGAGTTGATTCCTTCCCGCTATTATCACAACCCACACCCCCTTAGAAAGGAGCACCTCGCCTCTTCAGTCAAGCCAAAACTTCCCTTTAACGACCCCCCTTTCAGAGACATAGACAGGTATGGGGCATTGCAGGCTAATAAAGAAGCTAAACGACCCCCATTCCAAAGGGGTGGACCCGTTCGTCCATTTCAATTTGCATGTTTTCTGACATTTTGAATTGAAAAAGCTTCCTGGATGCAAAAATTCGTTCATTTTTCAGGTTTAATGCATGTCTACTGTGATGGATCAGGGTTGTTATGATGTGTTAGTAAGCAGCGGGGAGGCGCAGCAGAAAGCAGAAGCGTGGCGGTACTCTCCTACCATGGGGTTGGCGCTCAGTCTAGTGTATCCCGAGTTCATCTCCTTTACCTCAGGCACCAGGGGCTGCAGCAGGGAGTAGGAGGAGGACGGGGCGGCATTAGGGGGGGGGGCGTGTTTGTTGGTCGATGAGCTCCTCATACTCTGCTGGCCGCTCTGAGAAGACACGGGGCTGGGTCGGCCCTGCTGGGACAGAAACAGAACCCCCTCAGCGTGCCGCCGTGATTCTGAGGAGTCCTCCTCTGATGCTCCCACGTACCTGGTGAGGGTCCGGCACTGGCTGCCCAGCCACAGCGCCCCCCTGCCCGCCCTGGGCCATGGCTGCCACACAGTGGGAGGGTAGCGGTTCCTGCTGGGCGTGTCCTCCATGCTGCGGCTGCATCATCGAGTTAGCATTGTTCTGCTGCTGCTGCTGACGGCGCGGAGTCGCAGAGAAATTGGATCGACGACCGCCAGTCTGGATTGAAGACCAGCAAAGAAACAGAAAGAGAGCAGAAATTTTATACACATCCATCGCTCCTGCCGTCCTCACAGCAGCCATGCAAAGCAGATCACAGAGAAGTGACTGATGAGGGTGACTTCGCCTCAGCTTCCCTCTCATGTCTCAGACTCTTCCTCTCTAAGCCCTGCATACTTTAAACCCAGAAAAATGAGATGGTGTCAAAATGCACAAACGCACAAACACGGCCACTCACACAGACGTTCACTAAAACCTGAGGCTTTGAACGCATCTGATTCAGGCCGGGGAACGTTTAAGAATGGTTCCTTCAGCTTGGAGATGGTTACCCCGGCTTTAAAGTCCCATTATTATTACCGGTAACCATAGAAACTAACTAGGATGGGTTTTAATCAACCTTTTATTGTGATGATGGCAGGATTCAGGCTCCTTCAGAACAGAGCTCAGCGGCAGGAAGGAGACGATGTGGATACTTGAGCAGCTGGTTCACCTCTCCAGCCCAGACTAACAAGGACCCCGTCATTAAACACATTTAGTTTAAAGGAAAAGTCGCTCATATTCAGAATTCAAACTTCTGAAAGTGCTTTAAATAATAAAATTATTCCATCCTGTTCAATAAATGATCAGTGTTTTTAATTCAGAGTAATTTTCATGTGAATGTGCTTTACTGGAGGCATCCATGTTTGTCAAAGAACACTACTGCCACCTACTGGTTAGTGACGGTGCGGTATCGGCTGTTGATCAAGTCCCAGTGCTTTATCTGGTGTTTGTCACAACGCGCTATTATCCAAGTCATCTTGAAAACATTCTTCTTCCAAATGTTGGCTACATATTACGGGTTTTTTCTCTGGCCAGAAGTTCGATGGCAAATCCTCCCTCTTCAAGTTGGCGATCCAACGACCAACCCGTCCGTGGAGGATCAGGAATCAGAAAGGTGAAATAAGTCTTTTTTTCACTTTTCCCGATGTATTCCAGCATCCAGCTGCCATGCACGTGGGCATTGTCAGTTTCACTATAGCTCTGGTGAATTTCAATGGTGAAGTCCTCTGGAAATCTTCAATAATTGTTGTTGATTGCAGATGTGTCTAGTAGTTCCCATTGATTTAGCTTGGAAAGCGGGGAGAATGGCGCTAGGCTTACCGCACCGCGACGTCACTGCTGGAAGATGGCAGGAGGGAGGGGCTACTATATTTGGGCAAAAATGGCCGCTCCCAGACTCAGTGATCATTTACTGATTAACGCTAAATTAATTGAATCACCACAAACGTAATAGTTTTAGGTATAAATAATGATCCATTGATTAATCCACACGTGGGGAGGAACAGGGATCATTTCTATATTAGGAATTTCAAAACAGTTTAGTTCCACATCATCATTCTGGGTTTTTTGGTTTAGTTACTTAAAAAGGCTGAAGACAGATAAAGGCGGCAGGTCAGACTGCTGATGTCATGTTCTGCTGGACGAATCAAAGCTAAGCCTCTCCTCCTGCTGACTCCTCCTCCTCACACACAGCCTCACTCACGCTCACACCAACCTGGTTTTTGGCCGCGGCGCTGCAGCGGTGCTGGGCCAGGTCCAGCATGGTTCTGTAGCTCTTAAAGCAGGACGGGCAGTTGAACCGGTTCTTATGAACCAACCCCACACATAAGCACACACACACATAAACACACACACAAACAACCAAAAACAAACACAGACATAGAAGTTTGGATTACTACACTTGTGCAGAAAATCTGCTGAACTATTTTCTATTCTGTGAGCTTTAAAGCTTCCCTGAACTGAACCTAATCTGGGTCTGACTCTGAGCCTGATCTTTCCAGTTAGAAATCTGCTGGAAACTAAGGCTGGGAAACAGACAGAGTCAAAGAAAAACATCAGACATTAGCTTACATACGAATGATAGAAGGGTAACATTACGACTGCGTCCACCTCTTCTACCGTTTGGGTTTTAATCAGTAAATGGATAAAAGCAGCCTTTAGCAACTTACTGAAAACGGCGTTGGGAATTTCCAGGAAAAGCTGGAAAACCCTAACTGGTTCTGCTGGGATTTAAAGGAAACTCCTTTGAATCACAGCCTGATCTTGTCCAGTCTGAACAGACAGTGTCTGTTCTACGGGTTACGCTACGTTCAGACCGCACGCAGCAGAAGCATGAAAAACACGCGTGCTGCTTCATTTCTGATGCTTGTACCAGTTTAGTTCTGACGCGCGGCTGAAGCATCTCTGCTGCGTGGTGGAAAATGGGTCTGATGGTTTGGGCGGAGCTACCCTATCCTTTCTTTGCCTGAAACACTGACTGCCATATCTGCTGTGATCAGAGAAAGTAAAAAGTAGTTTAATCATTTTTAAGTGAGAAAGTCCTCCTGCAAACATGGTCTGCGCCGTCAGTTAATCCAGATTACTATCCTGCCTTCAAATATTATTTTTCTGCAGGAGCAGCTCAGACTCCAACACACCGGCGGCGGAGCGCCACTGGGAAACCCCAGCAGCATCAGCTTCCGGCCGGGTCGCCCGTTGGGGGTTTTCCACTACTGTTCACCGCAGCTGGAAGACGTTTTTCATGTAGGTTATCCAAACTACAGGCACTAGAATAAAAGCAAACTTTTTTTTGTGGGCAGGTTTCTACATTTGAAGTTAATTTAGTCGTTAATAAACTGTTTCAGAGGAGTGATCATAGCGCTCTGCATCAGCAGTGCTGCGTCTGACTCCCTGCCAGCTCCCAGATCAGCTTCTCTGGTTGGTTGATGTGGCGCGTCCAGCAGCTAAAGTTTAATTTTTCCAACTACAGCAGCTGCTGCTTGTGAAGCGCGTCAGATGCTCAGAAGCTTATGAGACGCTGCTTCAGCTGCTTCGACCCGCCATGATGCGCTGCTTCTGCTGCTCCAAACGCACCACAGGTCCTTCTGATGTGCGTCAAACATAGACTCTGCATGTAGACCTGCTGCTTCTGCTGCCTCTATCGCGGGGTGTTTGAACGTAGCATTACTGATTACATTGGTTAATTTTAGGCATCACGACCAGTGGGCCAATTGGAGGCAGAGTTCATGCTGAGGCTAATATTGCTTCCATATTAAATAATATAAGTTTCCTTTATTTGATTTGCCTTTAGAATTTGCAAAGAATCAGAAATATGAAGCTAGCTAGTCAGTTTTTATATCCCTTAACATCCTAATTAATCAGCAGTGCTGTGTCTGTCTCCCTGCCAGCTCCCAGATCAGCTTCTGATTGGTTGATGTGGCGTGTTTTGCACCAAAAGTTTAATTTCTCCAATTCCAGCAGCTGCGGCTTGTGAAGCGCATCAAATGGTCAGAATGAGGCGCTGCGGGACGTTTGGCTGCGCCTTGATGCACGTCAGCCATTGACTTTGCATATAAACTAGCCGCTTCTGCTGCGTGCGGACTGAACGTAGCATTAAAGACGTTTCTTTATAAAAACCAACAGGTTCACATTTTTCAGCTCAATTCTGAAACAGAAAGACGTTTCAGACTCGCGGATGAAAGCAAAGCCAGTCGGTGCTTAAGATCACCTGATTATGCCAAAAATATATTTTTTTTTTATTTGCAGCCACCTGGAGGGCAGAAGTTAGAATGATAATTTTACTCTCATTAAGTGAGACAACAACCCAAAATGTTGCTGTTATATATGGCTAATATAATTAATTGACCAGCCCAAATCGTTAAGTTTTGGGTTGTGATGGCGTTGGGCGTTCGGCCATGAAGCTGCTGAATCACTCAGAAACATGGAGGCTGCTCCTCGTTCTGAACCGACACTCATGAGCATGACATCACGGGTATCATTAATCAATCCCTCGCCGCTGGCGGTGCTACCTTCCAGAGACGTACCTGGTTGGAGGCGGCGGCGCTGCAGCGGTGCTGCGCCAGCTCCAGCATGGTCCTGTAGCTTTTGCAGCAGGACGGACAGTCGAAGCGGTTGGGCCCGTCGTCGTGTATCCTCTGATGGTTCCTTAGGTACCGCGCCAGGCGGAAGGCCTTCCCGCAGAGGTCGCACATGTAGCGTTTCTGACCGTGGATTCGCATGTGGTTGCGTAGGGACATGTAGTTGGTGTAGGGCTTGCTGCAGAAGTCGCATCTGAGGAAAACGCGTCAACAGTTTAGAGAAAACCCAAAAGTAGAGGCAGGTGAAAAGCGAGGAGCCTTGAACGCTCACTTGAAGTCTCCCGTCTTGTGGGTGAGCTTGTGGTTGAGGAGCGAGCTAGCGTGCTTGTAGGCGCAGCTGCACAGGTCGCAGACGTACGGCCTCTCGTCTGACTCCGTGTCGTCGGAGGCCGTCGTGGTCGGCGGCGGCGGCGGCGGGGGAGGAGGCGCCGGTGCTCTGGACTCCATGGAGAGACTGGAGCTGGAGAGCGACGTGGAGGAGAGACTGGAGCTGGAGAGGGCAGCGGAGGACGGAGGCAGCTGGTCGCACCAGCTGATGGCAGAACTCGGCTGGAAAAGAAGACAGAAGCACATCAGAGCAAGAAAACTGTCCTCTGATTGGTCCTGGTCACCCGGGGGGCGGGGCAACCTTTACGCAAACTGTTTTAGATTTTTAAAGAACAGCTTTTAAAACAAAGCAGGCAGGATATTTAAAAACTAAACTTTGCCCAAAGAAAATGTCTTGTAGTGATAATGTCCAGATGATTTCAGCAGAACATCATTCCTGATTTCAGGGACAAATCAGCAGGAAACACCTCAAACATATGAGTTCAGTGCCCTCTTAAGGAGCAACATTAGCTGAACATAGTAGCAACCAAACTAATTAAACAGCTACTGACAGAGGTAACATGATGCTCAACGTGGAAGCTCCTGTCAGAACGTCAACCTACGATCCTAAACCTCTCTCAGTGCGACACAGGAAGTATCGATGTTTTCTTTTCCCGCGGCTAAATATGATGAGATTACTGCTGATACGGAGCTAAGCTGGGAACCCGCTAGTCCACAGACCGGTTCCAACCAGTTCCATCAGCGGCTAGAGGAGCTAGCAGCCAGATAAAGCTAACGCAGCCCATCAAGAACAGACCAAGAACCTAAGGGACCGGACACACCTTCCAACATGTTTTAAAATGATTAGTTTGTTTGAATGTAGCCTTTGATTATCATCTGCATTTAGTTTATAACAATAATAATTACACTTTATTGAACTCACATTGGAGATATTCCCTCTCGCATTTAACCCATCCCCTTGGGGAGCAGTGGGCTGCCATTGTGCGGCGCCCAGGCAGCAGTGTGGGGTTAAGGGTCCTCCTCAGAGCGCAGCGCACTGCCGCCCCTGACCGAAACACAACTCCATTATCAGATCAAAAGTGTACAATATCAAAAAATTATTATCCTTCTTCAAGGCTGAAATACTCATTAGCAGATCATTTTCTTTAGTTGCTAAGATGAGTGACAACAACACTCATCTTCAGAAATGTTTACTTATTTTTAGATCGTTTTTCAGTTTAAACTGGTAGATATTTGCAGATTTAAGGAATGATTTAAATCATAAGCTTATTTCCTGCTACATCTGTCCTTTCCTGACAGCCCTGCTGTAAAGAACACAGAATTAACTAGAACGGGTTCGGTTCTGGTTTTGCACCGTTAACTGCAGACCTACTAGTGATTCCTCTCCATCCTGGGAGCACACACAGTATGAATGAATAATTTAATAACTTAACACTGCTTACAGCAATAGGAGCTCTTCACAAATATCTCATTAGATGCATCTTTTATCAATTATAATTTGCTCTTGTCTAAAAACAAAAAACCTTGAAATGTGTATTTCTATAACTAAAAGTGTGGAGGAAAGAGTTTGTTTCTGTCCACAAACCAGAGGCATTCTCGGAGAGGATGAGCTGCTGTTTAACCTAAAGTACGGTGGCTGATAGGCGACCGACAATACGGAAAACATTGAAACAGAAAAATGCATTTCAGTGCGATACTGAATGAGCTGGCCTAAGAACCGCTGAGCAAAACTCTGAGCAGAGACTGGCTGCTTTGATCCTCCTTTAATTAGAGCTAGAAAATAAAACAATATTAACCTGATGAAAAAAAATACACCCTATATAATATCTATAACAGGGGTCTTCAAAGTTTTCCAGGCCAAGGACCCCCAAACTGATGGCGAGATGGAGCGGGGACCCCCTAATTATATATATATGGTATGAAATAGTGTTCAATCAAACTGGTCCTATAGTCACTCTATTACAGATGGAGTAATGTAACTAACTAAAGGGATTACTTTGATTCCTGGTTGATGGGACAGGTGTTGTGAATGAAACAGTGCCCAGCTTGAAAGAGCTCCTGTGTGTCGCTGAATGTGAGCATTGATGACTGAAAGACATCTTCTGCCTCCATTTATCTGTTTACTACAGTCTGTTGAATTCACGTTAATGTGGATTTAAAGACATTTCAATTAGTGGAAAAATTTGCAGGGGGGAATTTAAAAAAAAAGTCTAATCAAAACTTTTGCGAACTCCATGCAGTACCGTTGCGGACCCCCTAGGGGTCGCGGACCCCCTGTTGAAGAACTCCAGTCTTAAGATAGCTGGTGTCACAAAAGAGAGTGGTAATTTCCCAGCAAAATAAAGACATTTAATATATATCTACAATTAATTAGTTATTTACAAAGGTTCATAAATGATTTCCTAAAACAATATGAAAACTGTCGAGGTCTAATAAAAACACTTTGCTCTCCACATAAATCTGATGTTCTGTTACCTTTAGCTTCTGTATCTGGACAGATTGAAGACAGAAAGCTACCTGCTCATGACCTTCCCACAGAACCACATCTGGACCATCAGGATTTCACTGACTGATACACCTGAACAAACTGAAGAAATACAGAGCGCCATGACAACCAGCATGGCAGATGGTGGAGGATGTAGGTCCCCCAAAACAAATCCGACAGCCCCTGAACCGAACCGGCGTTCTGTCAGACTAGCATACCCAGAGTCAATCCCCATTTATCTCTTTAGTTTTGTACATAAAATAGACTTTTAACTACCTCGATGGGCGTGTATCCTTTAGTCGTGTACAAAAAAATTAATTACTTACTTTTTGCTGTTTTTTGTAGCATATGGAGATCTGACCTTCAATAGCTTTTTTGTACATGACTAAAGGTAAACATGCCCGTCGAGGTAGTTAAAAGTCTATTTTACGTACAAAACTAAAGGGATAAACGCAAACCTGACGTCTATTGACTATAGGTATGCTGGTCTGACAGAACACCGGTCCAGGTCTCAGTCAGGGTTGGAAGTCAGCCAGAAGAAACTGCGTCTTACGGGAAAAAAAAACCTGGACGGTCCACTTTAATGGAAAGTTTTGTTTTTTTTTGGTGAATATTTAGCTTCAAGCAGGCCCAGATCCAGTAATAACCTGGAGGTGGGGTTTAATATCTATAAACCAGGGAGGGTTTGGTGGCATGAAGAGAAGAAATTAAAGAAAAAGAAAACAGCTGGTGGAACCTGAGTTAACAGATGTGAACAACAGTTATCCATTCATCTAGATCTGTATTAAATGCACTTAATAAATTATATTTATTCTCAATCTGTGTCACATACAGATTCTCCTTATGTAGCCTGGTGGATAAAGTGAGTTGATTTTTCAGTGGAAATATCCCTCTTCTCCAAAATATGATCTATTAGCAGAACTGTCTTCCACTAATCTGGAATAAACTCAGCTCTGGTGTCAGTGGGTCCAGATGTTCTGTGAGTAGAACCCGGCCATGAATGAACAGAGTCACAGGGGGCTTTAACACATCCACCTGCGTGTTTATTTTGCCCTTTAAATGGATCCAGGAGTCAGATTTCAGCAGAACCTCTTGGTTCTGGCAAAGAAACCATCAGAACAGGTTCAGCAGAGAACATTCTGCCTTCAATACTTCATGTTTGGCTAAAGAAAACTGTATCCAACATTAGCTTTAGCTAAGCTAAAGGTCTGCTCTGTTGTTATGTCAAAGCTGTCATAATTTCACATCCTTTCGCTGCACATTTATAGCACCGCGCGTCAACGTTCACGCAGATATCTAGAGCAGTTTGTGGATAAAGCAGCTAGCCTGCCTGGGAGCAGCCAACAGCTAACGGTCAAACTAGGCCAGGAGGCGCTCAGCGTGAGGGTTGCTAGGTTAGCCGGATGCTCGCGAGGAAACTGCAGCGCTACTGGCAGAGATGCACCGGCGTTAAAAGCCAGGACTTCGCTGCAGGGACACTATCGGTGTGATAACAAATACTTCAGTCACTGCTGGAAGAAAAGTGCGAGTCTCCGCCGCTGCTGGCTGCGTGTTTGTGGCTTGGGTTGGCTAGCTAACGGAGGGGGAACAACTGGCTTTCTTACTCCGGAATCGTTCGGGTCCTTTTTCCAGAACAATTGAGAGCAGTGGCCGAAAGACTCTGTCGAAGAAACGTAGTTCACTCCGTTTCTGTCCTGAAAGTCCCCATGTGTGCTGCCCGCGTTTGTCCTGGCGTACATCTTCGGTTCGCAATAATATTATTTTTGTCACTTTTCTGGTTGAAAATAAGCAGGGCCGCTTTGTTGGGCTCTTCTCCCGAAAAGCAAAATATTTCTTCTGTGAAATGAGCATTTTGGCGGCGGAGGCATCGACCGCTAGAAATCTTTACTGCCACCTGCAGGATAGGAGGATCACTGCAACAGCAATGCTTTATCCTAGACTTAAAAAAAATAAAATAATAAAACTTCAATTATTTTTTCGCTTGGTTATACAATCCTTTTTCTTTTAGAGAGTTGGAATAGGCACAACAAATAAAGACATTAATGTAAGAGCCTTGAGCTCAAGTAAAAAAAAAACACTTTATGAGAAAGAAATCTGTTAAAACTTAGGCAGAAAAACATACAAAGCCTATAGACCCACTCTTCAGTGCTTATCTGGGTAAATTGTTCATTTTTAATTTCTTTATATCAGAGAATTTAATGTTCCATTTTAAGTGGTAAAATGTTTTTTTTTTATTATTATTTTTATATTACAAGTATCCTATTAATGCAATGATACAGACCTACTAAAAGCTGCAAGAGATAGTTCCTGTTCACAGCTATTAATATAAACAAATACTCGTTTAAAAAAAAGTATGAGTTACTACAACACGATTTAATTTCCTTTTGGGATTAATAAAGTATTTATTTTTTAACTGAATTAAAATCAGATAGTTTGATTATTTAGGGCTTTAAGGAGGATTTTAAATTCCATTCTTGATTTAACAGGAAGCCAATCAAGAGAAGCCAGGATAGGAGAGACATTATCTCTCTTCTAATTTTCATCAGAACTCTGGCTGCAGCATTTTGGATCAGCTGAAGGCTTTTAACTACAATTTGTGGACTTCCTGATAGTAAAGAATTACAATAGTCCAGCCTTGAAGTAACAAATGCATGGACTAGTTTCTCAGCATCACCCCTGGACAGGAGATTTCTGACAAAAGTCTAATTACAAAATAAAAAACATGTTAGGTTTAGACTTAGACAAATTTTATTGTTGTTTTGTTTTTTTAGGACTTTGTTTTTACAGAGTCCAGGAAGGAGTCTCCTTGTGCAGTTCCAAAGTGCTGGTTCTTCATCTTACTGTGTCTTACCTTGTCGAGATTGTTTTCCCCTGAAGCCTCCATGGTTCTGGTTGTTTTACCTTTTTTCATGTTTGAATTTTTGGATTCCTGCCTCAGTTGTTTGTGAACCTTTCATTAAATCTTCAAAAACTCACCTCTGCCTCTGCATTTGGGTCGTCAAACCCTGACATCCAGTGTGAACCCCTGCTGGTAGCACTGTTCTGTGTAGGAATCTATGCAGTACAATCTGTTGCACATTTCTGCAAAGAAGTATGCTCTATTATTACTAAATGTAGGAAAAATATATTTCTCAATAACATAAAAGGTTTTTTACTAATTTATAATGTGTATGCAATATGTTTAAGAATAAATTAGAATTTTTTTCCCCCAAAAATTGGGCAACTGAGTTTAACAGATTTGACTCTTCAAGTTTCCTCTGCGCTTCTGGGTGGTCTGTGTTTAGATCAATAGTAACGTCCAGGCTGAGCAGACTAATTTCTATTGGTTTAACACACTGACCAAATGTTCCACCCGGGAGTGTAGAGAGAAATCTGTACAACAGGACTGGAAAAGAATGTCATTCATAAAACTGTTTCTAAATTATGTTTGCAAATGAAATCTGGAAAATAGAAAATAGTAAAATTAATGGTTGCACTTTTCTGCACACAAACTCATTTTCTTCAGGTTTCTTTTTTGAAGTCAATCTTTGTTTTCAATAATATTGGAACAAAATGATCTCCAAACCACTCTGCTTTGGGATCCAGATCCTGCAAACAGAACAGTGATTACCGTCTCCTAGATGTTACACACATGGATGAAATTTTAAATCAGAAGTGGGGGGGATGCAACTATTTTTTAATGTAACTCTTATATAGAACTTCAGAGTCTTTTCTAGTAGATCTTCTGTGTTCCTCCACTGTCTCTTGCATCTCTGCTATCCCTCTCCTGATGAAATATATGGATGCATGACATGAACTATTGGACAATTTGTGTTTCAACAATCAATGTAGATAAAAAACACAAAGTTTTACAATTATTATGAGCTTGGATATAAACCACTTTAATAGATTGTATTTTTCTCCTTTTTTGATGAGGATAAAATATAACAATAATACATATCATTTATCAGCGCTTTTAATGATACAAATACACATTATAAGGTTCTTGAGAACTTTATAATGTGGAGGAGGATCTTGAAGTGGTTCTACTGCTTTATGGAGCCATTGAAGGTGTTTTACACTGGAAAAAAATCGATATCTAGATAAGTCATTTTTCTTAAAATAAATCCTTTTGTTCTTGGATTGAGGAGGTAAAAAGACATTTTGCCACTGGAAAAAGACAATTTACATTTAAAATAAGAAAAATCAATTGCATTGTCTAATTTCAAATGCATATTATGAAATTATCTTATTTAAATAGTAAAACTACTGTCCATTGGCAAACTATCTCATTTACCTACTCAAATTAAGTGTAAATACACTTAATTTAAGAATTTTCCTTATTGTATTTCCAGTGTAGGAGTGATGTTACACAGTTCTTTGAATGTAGTCTACATTTTGACTTTTAAAAAAGTATCTTATGTCTTAATTTTTTCACTGCAAAAATGATCAAAAAATGAGTAAAAATGTCTTAAATTAAGTGTATTTACTCTTAATTTGAGCAGGTAAATAAGATGATTGCCAATGGAATGAGTATTTTTACTCTTATTATAAGATAATTAGATATTATGCACTTAAAATAAGACAATGCATTTTTTTTCTTATTTTAAATGTAAATTATCTTGTTCCATTGGTAAAATGTCTTACATGTCTCCTTAACTCAAGAAAAAATGCACTTATTTTAAGAAAACAATTACTTACTGAGATTCAAATTTTTTGCAGTGTTCAGACATCTTGGCTGCGAGTATAATTACCAATCCCACACATGAGACCAATTCAAAGATTCATGTAAATTAATAGATGTGAAATTACAACCTTCCTGGATTAGATGACCAAAGTGAGGAAGAAATGCCCAATTTAAAGTAGCAGATTCCTTCACCGTCTGCTTGCGGACCCACGTTCTTCTCCAAGACCGTAAGGACATAGAGACGTAGGATTCAGCAGTGCTGTGACTGTCCAATCACAGACTCCATTCAGTGGTGCATAAATGAGCTGTGTCAGTCTGGCCCCTCATGAGCACCTTGATCTGTGCTTGAGAATGGCTTAGTCTCCATTCAAACCCAGGTCTAAAGCCTTGCAGGGCAGCCTAAAGCCCACTGCCAACATTAAGACAGAAAAAAGAAAGGAAATAACGCTCAGTTCAGGTGTTTTATGATATATGGGAATCAGGAAATTATCTATAAACCAAACTGAAAGATTGTTGTTCTCTACTTCAAAAGAACACTTTAGATTTAAAAATGGATCCAATTTTAAACCTTCATGCATGGAGAAAACAACAGCAGCTAAACCTTCCCAAAGCAAGTGGATTTTATTTACACAAATAAGCAAAAAACTAAAAAAAAACATGTGAAATGTGAAAGATTATATCCAACAGCTTTAATACAATCATCGCCTTCATTAATATGCAGCACATCATCCACATAGTTTTTGTGCAAAAAATAAAATAAAACAGTGTTTACAAATGGAATGACTGGATCCGAACATCATTTAGCTTAAATCAATAAAAATATGATGCTTAAATACAACCATCAGGATTAATTGAACCTCAAAACGGAAACTATTCAACCTAAGGCCTAACAACAGTAGATATATTTTCACTTTTCTAAGTTTTGCAAGCGATTTTACACTGAAGTGAACTAACAAGGTGACTTGTGAGCCAACTACAACAAAAATACTTTCATTTTTAAAATGATGTAGTGCTTTTTCTGTGGGTCACTACTGCACTCCTCACAGACAGCCGTGGCGCTGCATTATCAAAGTGACAAAGTGAATAAAAGTGTGAAAGTGATCTGTACATCTCTTATTAACACTGATTAGGAAGGGATTATTCTTTCAGATCTGGCTCCCATGAGGACACTCAGGTCAGCTATTGTTTACTGCAGCAGAACTGGAGATGAGGAGGTTTAATGTAACATTTCTTCACTTGCTCTATTTCTCTCTTTTTTCTACACACTGCAAACAACATAAATCTTAGTAAGTCAATTTTATTAAAATATGTGCATTTCTTCTAGCATTGAGCAGGTGAGTGAGAAACTTTTCCAATGGAATAAATCAATTTGCTTTTAAAATAAGAAAAGAAAAACACAAAAACTGCTGTCTTATTATTTAATTTCAAGTGCAAAATATCTAACTATCTTATTTTAAGGATAAAAAATACTCATACTATATGCAGATCATATTCTTTCTCAGATCAAAGGTAAATACACTTATTTTAAGGAATTGTTACTTGTTTTCTAGTTTGTTTTTGCATCCGTCTTTACACTGCAAAACATCCTAGAAATAAGTAAAAATTTCTTATATTAAGTGTATTTAGCTTTAAAGCTGAAGTCTGTAAGTTTTTAAAAATCACTTTTTTGTCATATTGGCTAAAACTGTCCCTATGCCCAGACAGCAGTACTTGTGATATGTAACCTGTGAAAAAAACTGCTTCAATTGGTACCGCCTACTGCCTGTATTTCAATCTGGAAAGAATAATTCGGGACGAGTCAAAACAACCAATCACAGCCAGAGGAGCGTCTGATGGAGTGTCAATCACAGCTCACACACGCTGAATCCCCCCCCCCCCCCCCCTTATGGTCGCATGCGGTAGCCGCGCAGATGCTGTGAGAGGGGTGGAGCTTGGAGGTGGGGCATGAGTGAAGCAGAGAGGGGGGGGGAGTGATGTGAAACCTGTTTTTCTTCAAATTTTCAGTCGAAGTCTGCTCTCTTCTCAATGTTACAGACTGCAGCTTTAATTTGAGCGGGTAAAAAGGTTGATCTGCCAATGGAATTAGTACTTTTACTCTTAAAATAAGATAATTAGATGATATGCACTTGAAATAAGACAATAAAATTGTTTTTTCTCATTCTAAATTGCCTCACTTACTTACCTCCTCTAATCAAGAAAAAATGCACTTATTTTAAGAAAAAACGACTTATTTAGATTTAAATGTTTTGCAGTGTATTAGCTAGTGGTTCTCTTTGATCAGGTAGGTCAGATCCTGCAAAGTGACAGCGTGCTGTAAGGGGCGGGGCATGACAGCACCATGTCAAAGCAATGAATTCATCTTTAAAAAATAAAGACATTTTAAAAATGTAACTTTAAATTCTTGATGACTGACAAAAAAGTCAGTTCACTTACCGTTAAAAACTTGACTAGAAAAGCAGATTTTAGGAACTACTTTATCTGTACTGGTCTAATTCCTGTCATTCAAGCTTTTTTTGTGTTTTTTGAGCAACTTCAGCTCATTTGTCTTATGAAAGGATTTGGCACATGGGTTTCAGTGTTTGCACCTTTAAACAGACTTATTTTTAAAATGACTGCTCGTTGACAATGTTAACAAAAGAGCTTCATGGCTTTATGTATCTGGTGACATTTAGATGTGGAGGATATCCTGAAATACTCAAAGAAGCAAAGTTAAAAATCTTACCTTTTGTTTTTAGTCGGGTAACGAATCCCCTGCAGAACGGAGCCAGAGGATCATTAGACAACTAGCAGGTGTTTTATTTTCCTACAGCCACCTGTAGCTAACCTGTCCTAAGATGCTCTATGTAACAATGAGCCGTTTTTAGCAGTATATTTATTAAACATGACAGTTTCATCATTCTGCTTCATTCTCTCTCTGTTCTCCTATTCTGCAGAATCTGTTAGTTCAATCTCTAACCTTCTGCTCTCTCTGCTTTTCCTCAGAGTAGCTTTGCCTCGTCTGTTCCTGTTTGGCTGTGACGTCATCCTGGAAAAAAACATCAGCTGTGCTGCTTCTATCAACACCCTTGTTAATAGATGTTGGAGATCGGCCTGTTTTCCAGTGTGGTCCTGTTTCTCTGACCGTGACTGAGTGGATGTGCTCTCTTCGTCCTCTGGCATGGGAGCTGCCTTGGAGCTCGTCTGCCTGGCTGTGTGTTTCCTGGACGGGGCCGCCTTTTACAGCTGCTTTTTGTATCTCTGCTTCTGTCTCCTTGAACCCCAGTCGGCCTCAGCAGATGGCCGCTCACACTGAGCCTGGTTCTGCTGGAGGTTTCTTCCTGTTAAAAGGGAGTTTTTCCTCTCCACTGTCGCTACAAGCATGCTTAGTGTGGGGGATTGTATTTGAGTCAATGAGTCAATGCAATCAACTGGTTTTCCTTAGATAGAAAACTTTGTATCAATTTGACTGTATGATCTGGTTGAACTGTAAAGTGCCTTGAGATGACATGTGTTGTGAATTTGGCGCTATATAAATAAACTGAATTGAATTGAATTGAATTGAGTTAAACACAGCATCCTGTTTTGCAGTTTGCTTTATTTTGGTTGTTTTAAACGCAGTAGAATTGTTTGGGGCTTCTTTGGCAGGTCTCATCTTATTTTAGTTTTTGTATAAAGGTAAATTGATTTTACTAAACAATATTTTATTAATTCATAAACTCTTCCTAAAAGGGAAACACCTGCTGCTATTTCCCTCTCCAAGAAGGTGTGCACAGGACTGTACCATTGGAGAACTGAAAGGGGAGGGTGGTTGATCTAATTTATTGTGTTTTTCTATTTGAAGTTTTGATTATTTCTTTGGATATAATTAAGATATTTCTGTTCTGTCATTAGCTGTTTATTTACAACCAATTCTCTTGTTTGTTGTTATTTTGCAGCTGTGTATCTTTTACAATGGTTTCTTCCAATTTAGTTCCACCTCTATTCAAGAAGCATGTCTGCCATTGTTCTGTGGTTCTTAGTGATGTTTGGTTGATGTCCTGAACCCACTGATCTCTATTTATTCTCTGGATTGCTGATAGCCTGAAAAAACTAAAGCCACAGGCCGCCATATTGGTACTCCCCACTCCCATGGAGACGTGCCATAAAAATGCCTCCCTGTGCAGCATTTGGCTGCAAAAACCAGCAGTTTTCTGTCTGCAGGAAGACGTTCCACAGGTAATTTCAAAGTCAGTGGATGAACTAACCAATAAATCCATCTATAGACGATGGATTCTATAGAATAGCCTGTAGCGTAACATTAGTCTGGCTATCTCAGACTGACTGGAAGACATTGACTGAGTTAGCCTTGACACTGGGTCTAACGTTAGAACATAGAAAGAAATTCACTGTGAAATGTTGATGTAGTAATTATTAAGTGGATGATGCGTCGTTTTTGTACTGATTGTTGTATTTCTCATTTGAAAAAGTCATAATATATTGCATGTTATATTGATGGGGGGAAAAAGAAACTCAAATATTCACCACATAAAGTATGTGGCATCATTCATGCATAATTTTCAAATGTGAAAATACTAAAGCATTAACAGACATGAACTTGTAATTCAGTCTTAATGCAAAATCTTGAAATAATATGTAAAATGTAATTACCACAACAATGTCATCAATACATGTATATCATGTAAATAATCAATTTAGCACTTTTGGCACTTCCGTATTATTCTTCTCCATTAACACATTAATTTTGTTGTGATGACTTGTTATAATATGTTTACGTGATTTATAGACTTCATTGACTTCATAATGACTGTGCAATGTGATGGGCCTATTTTTATTATATGTTAAAGTTAATCTACTGATGCAATGAAACAGCCTGTCTGTGTCAAAGTGATGAATTTATCTTTATTTTAAAAGTCTTAATCTGAAAATGAGAACATCATGGTTGTTTGATGCTGTAGCGCACGTATTGTTTACATTGAGACCGGTCTAACTAGGGAGTACCAATATGGCGGCCGGTGGCTTCACTTCAACCCTGTACTACAAACGGGCTATTAGCAATCCAGGGAATAAATAGAGATCAGGGGCTGAACCAGAAAGAATTGGAGACGCTCTTTGGGAAGCGGTTTGGGTCCCACCTCCAGGATGCCTTGACCTCCTAAATTAGCATGAAACTAATGTGAAAGGCTCTAAATGGTGACCTAGCTGAGAACAAGCAGAGAGAAATAATCGTCAGAAAGATGCATTTACAATACAAAATGTTATTTGTGACATTAAATAACTAGAAGAATTAAATTAGATGGCAGTGGCTCATAGTATGATAGAACGAGCTGTTATGATGAGGAACAAATGGAAACGTCCGACTGTTGGTTTTCCTCCAAAAGTTCGTTATGAACCTCAATAAATCAACCATCTCTAGCTGAATAAGATGAAAACAACGTTCTGAAGCTGTGATTAGAGGATAACAGCTGAAAAGGTGTCTGCATGAGGACATAGTTAAATCTGCAAACAATCCTGATGTTTTTTTAGGTCAAAGTTTTGTTTTGGATCCAAATAGAAGCAGAAATCATCGATATCCAGAGTTTGGAGGGACGGCCGGCGCCTTTCATTTGAACTTTCACACATAAGCAGCGATCAGGACGGCGATATGATGACTATTTAGCGTCACTGCAGCAGTAGAAATGTCTGTCCTAACATCTAAGGTTTAATTCTTGATCTCTAGGATGGAGGGATTGTGGTCCAGAATAGCCAGAATGATTTTATCCATATATTGCCGCAGACGCAGGTTAATCTCTTCCTGTTCTTTCAGAGCATCAACAATCTGAAAGAGAAACATAGAGAAAATTCAGATGTTCAGTTTTAACAGAGACACCAGCTAAAATAATCCTTTCTCCCTCTGACTGACGGACCTCGTCTCTTGAAGCGTTGTCGATCTCAGCGGCGAGGCACTGGGCCTTGGTGTGGCAGGAAAAGAGGTTCTTGGCTTCGTATAAACTGAGACTCAGAATCTGAGCGTTAAGGTCGTCGTTCTGGTCCCTCAGCTTAAAGTTCTCCTGAAACAGTTCAAGGAAAACGCCGTTTATAAAATCAGCTCTCGGGGAAAGCTGTTAATGCAACAAAATATGCAAAACTACAAAATTAAACCTTTTAATAATAAATATATTAGTTTTTTTCTTATTAATGACTTGATTCTTTAAGTCTAAAACCTGGTTTAGATCTGGGATTAAAATAGGACTTGTCTGAGCAGAATGAGGCTTAACCCCTGAAAAACAATCAACCCAATAGAAACACAATAACATGTGCTATCAACAGCAAAGCTGGATATTTGATTTACTTAAATCACTATTGTGGTCAGAAAATTTTGTGTCTCTTATTCTATATATTATATTTATGCTATTTACTCACTATAAAAGTTTTCACTCAGCCTGTTTCACCTGCAAGGCCACACAATCACCAGCGTGAGTCCGTTTGTAGACCAGACATAACTTCTTCCCATAAAAAACTAGATTCTTTTTCAAGGTTTATTCATAACATGTAACTATTTAACCAAAGTGTCTGTTCTGACTCTGATAACTTTCCATTATTGTTGTCATGATCTGGCCTGTTTGCTCTCCCTTAATTGGTCATTTCTTTCACCTGCCGTTTTCCCTCCCTGCCTCAATTATAATTTATTCCTCTCACCTGTTTCTTATATTTATACTCAGTTCAGCCTGAGCATTCAGTTCCAGATCATTATTTGTTTTCTGTTAGTCTGTCTGTTCAGTTTTTGCCTTGGTTCATGTCCTGGACATGAGCAGGTGGAAAGAGGGTTTTAGTGTTTGTCTCGTCTCCTGATCGTCCACTGTTCCTCCCCCGCGGAGTTCTCTGGGTTTTTGACTCATTATGTGGGGAGGTTCAGTTTTTATCCCAGTAAGCCTGGCTCCAGGGAGGAGACCAGTTTAAAGTCCTGCTTCAAGTTCTGGTGCTACGTCCTGTCTCGGCTACCCTCTTCCACTGAGCCTCCTCATCTGCACCTGATCCTGTCTGCTCCTGTGCGTGACCGTCTGGCCACGCTTCAGAAATCTATCTGACTCTGAACCCGTCTGGGAGCCTGTTATAGCCTGGAAACCTGGATCCTGCCTCCTGTTCTGTTCCTGCCTGATCTGCAACCTGTTCTGTCCGTTCCTGCCTGATCTGTATCTCTGATCAGGATCGGCTTCCTGCAACTCCTCTGGAGCTACAGCACAGGGGACACTCTAGGTGACGCGAGCCGCGAGGGGTATGGACTGAACTGCTAAACCAGGTAAGTGACTCACTGAGAACATCATCTTCAGTCAGGTGATCGTGGTCACTTACCTGTGTTTCTCCCTCAGAGTGTCAGAGATTGGGCGGTGCCCCGCCCCCCTCCTGCAGTGTCCGCGAGCCACGGCTCCACTTTAGTTTTGTTTATCAATAAACTTTTTGAACTTTCCAACTGACTGTCTCTCCTTGAATACTGGGTCCATCTGTCCTCGGTTCATGACAATTGTAAGTAAGGGGGAACGAATGCTGCTCAGATCAGAGCAGGGCTGAATAACGTGCAATAAGGTATGATGAACTGTTCTCTCTTTGCAAAGATAAAAATAAAATACTGAATGACATCCATCAATCTGCTTTTATTTAACTGGAGTAAATAGTTGAATACTTTTTTCCCACTACACTATTTAGTGCAGTTATTTCAGAGAGCAAACACCTGGACGATGATTCTTTCTACCTCCCCATCAGAGTCTCGCAAAGGGCAGATAAAGACATTCTTATTTAAATCTCTTTAGATGATCAATTTCCATATTTCTGCTTAATAAACGGTGTAACACACATAAAGAAAAAAAAAGACCAAACAAAGCTCAACGTCGGCACAAGGTACTAAAGATTTCAGGCATGTAATGAGACAAGCTTAATCATGCAGGCTGCCTGTGTGACCAGTAATACCATCAAACTGCTCCAGCTAAGTTATGATCATTGTAATAGCGGCCACACCAACTGCTGCTCAAAGAGACAGTTTACAAAACTGACTTCAAAACTGAGAGAACATCCATGTGGATTGACTCAGGAAGGAGGAATAGTTCACTCGCAATCCATAATTGTCTCTCACTAGTCTGTGGCCCCGCGTTTAGTTGTTTCATAATCCTTCCTCACTGAGATCAAATAGCAGAAATTATATAACATTAAGTAAATACTACAAAGGAATATCTGGGTAAACTACATAAAGCGGTCTGACATGCCATTGTTTCTGGGCTGCATTAAAAAGTTGAGAGTATACCCACTTCTCCAGGGACCACTGCGCTACTGCCGCTAGCAATCAGTGTTTTGGCTCCCTTCCCACTGGCAATAAAAGCTGCTCTAACCCCTCGCTGGAAGCTGCGTGGCCTCTTTCCCCATGCAGCTGCGTGTCTGGTAACACCATCATGCTGGGTTCCCATGGATGATGTCATCAGTGCAACAGAAATCAGGAAAGTAAACAATGGAGACCAAGATGGAAGGAAGCCAGTCAGTGTGCTATATTGTTTTGCTCTATTATCTGTCTGAATCACTCTCACCAGAGCTGCTCCATGTTTATGTAAACAGAATTGTTTCTGCTTGTTAGATCAGAAGCGACTGGTGTGGTGTGTTGACGTCCATACGTTAAGGACGTTAATTACGTTAATGGTGTCAGGTAATTTAGTGGTTTTCCCACAGCATGCCGATCAGAGACGAGGCGATTTTAGCACAAGTCGCTTGTGGAGTCGTTTGACCCAGGTAGACACGGTCAGTGCGCTGGTCCACTGCCACTAAAAGCTCTTTTTAAACAGGTTCTTCAGCCAGTGGGAAAGTATGAGTGTACTCCTACTTATACGGACTAATCACAAATATATCTAAGGAATCTATCTGTAACATATTCAATATTGGTGCAACGACTGTGAAGTGGATATAGATTAGCTTAGCAGAAGGCTTGAAAGATTATCCAGCAGCTCAGGAAGTAAATCCTTCACCCGGAGCCGCTGATCAGCTCTTATTCTGCTTTTATGACCTCCACTAAGGGGATTGCGGTATGTTTTTAGAAGAGTCTGTCTGTCTGTTTTAACGGGATAACTTGAAAAGTTAAAGGTGTCCCTCTGTCTAAGGAACAAACTACAAGGTTTTGGTGATGATGGGAATCACCATCTGGATCCAAATATTCAGCGAATACAGGTAAAAACCAAAGGAGGAAGTCACAATATGTTGGGAAATTATGAAATGGCGGAGGTCTGCGCTCTCCGAGTGCCTACATGTTGTGAATGCTGGCGTACCATAAAGAATAAATGATGAACAGTTTAGTTTGTGCCTTCAAGTCGTTGCCCATAGGAAGACGTTACTTGGATGTAACCTAGCGGAATATCTTCAGAAAGGTTAAAGTAACGTATTATAATTAAAAATGTCTCCAGACTTTACTGGTTGATGATTTTCTTTATTTGGACCCTGCTGATTTTTAATTGGTTACCCCTGGTCTATACATTTGCTGTTTAATGATGGCGATTGAGGCTTTTAAAGTTTGTAAAAAAAATGTTTTTCAGCATTTTGTGAGATTACTTCAATGGAAGAATGTATAAAAACTAGAAGGACGGCCAATATCACATTTGATCAGAAATGCTGACAGAAAGAGGGGGTATTTTTAACAAAGTTGACTTCTGCCTGTTTCCAGACCTGTTTCAGTCTCCTGACTTCAAGCTCCATCTCAGTCTCTCTGTTCTTGGCGTTATATTCAGACAGGCTTTTGCCTTTCCCAGGATGCTCCATTTCCAGCTTGAATAACTGCAGATGCTCCAGCTCCCGCCGAAGATCATCGATCAACTGCAAAAAAAGGACACAAAAGGTTTCCTTTTATTGATTTTGTTTATTTCTTTTACTGAATCAAATTAAAAACTATAACCAATAAAACATCCGTTGTTAAAGGAACTGCTAATCCACCTCTTTTGCTCTAGATACTCTGGGTCCTTAGATTATCTGTTATAAATGCTAGAGATCTCACATTCTCCGTAACAAAAGATGGTTTAACCTCCTCTCTATCACTATTTGGGTTCCACATTTATTTAATCGAGCTTATAAGAAATCAATCAGTTGATTCCAGTTTATTTAAAATCCACACTGTGGTGATTAGGCATCATGCAACTTTCCAAGCATAACATTTTAGCAGAATAATAAAAAGCGATGCAAGAGAAGAGAATCACAGGACATGTAAAGGAGCTGCATCGATAATCTGTAACACTTTTCATTGCAGGTGAGCACTAAAAAGCAGACCTTACCTCCTGCATGGCCTCCTTTTCTTTCTGAAACTCGTGGCGGTTGTGCCACAGCTTATCCATTATCTTTCTGTACAGGTCCACCTCATCTTTCAGCCTTAGACTAGTGTCCTCCAGTTTGTCCGTCATCCTTTGCTTTTCCTGCAGAGAAAAACAAATCTGTTAGTGAGTCAAGTCTCAGGTCTACAGGTAAAAGTCGCGTCTGAAGAACTTGAACCCTCACACTGGAAAAAATTTAAATCTCAGCAAGTCATTTTTTCTTAAAATCAGTGCGTTTTTCTTGAATTGAGGAGTTAAGTGTGAAACTTTGCCAATGGAACAAGACATTGTACTTTTAAAATAAGAAAAAACAATTGCATTGTTATATTTCAAGTGCACATTATCAAATTATCTTATTTTAAGAGTAGAAATACTCATTTCATTGACAAATTATCTTATTAACCTGCTCAAATTAAAGGTAAATACACTTAATAAAAGAAATGTTGACTTATTTCTAGAACATTTTTGCAGAGCAAAAGTCTTGAATTTCAGAGGTTAATTCGGTTCATCCATTGGCTGTTGTGACCCTTCTCATCTGAGGTAGCGACCCTCGGTTCGACTCACCTGGTCCAGTTTCTCAGACTGAGACTTGAGGCGGCTCACGTTTATCGTCATCTCTCCATTCTCTTCTTCTAACTGCTGGACCCTGCAGACAGGTTGGGTCAGAAACAGAGAGACGGGTTTTATTTGGGGGTTACTCTATCTGAGCACGTTATGTTCCCAACAGTCGGCCTCAACTGAAACATTTTGGCTCCTGCTGAGGGCTAACAGCTTGACATGATAGGTGCTTATTATTGGTTCTGGTTAGGAACATGGACAAAATATCTAGGTGATTTTAAAGTATAGCATCCGATAGCTAGTGTAAGGAGGGCCTTTCTCAGAGATGGCAAATGAACTGCAAGCAGATCCAAAGTATTTAACCTATTCTACCTCCCACAATGGGAGGGAGAAATTATTAGGGACTTGCTAAAATACAGCAGGTCAAAAAAGGCCATATTTTGCCGTACATGATGTTCTCCTGTAAAGTAGAGAAAAAAATAAACTAGTGCATTAAATTCAATAGATGAGGTGAAAATATCCAACATCAAATACAGAAAGCTTGATGAAAGATTTCCAGGTCCTGAAAGAAACTGTGCACAAGGATTGTTATTAGAAAGAACCTGCTTCATATTCTCCTATCAGTAGCAAAAAGACTGTGTTGTCCGAGGCCCTAGCAAAGCTGTCAGCTGGCCTGCATTTAACTAACGGTTACTGGTTCCTGATTAAGCAAATCATTTAATAAGGCATTATTTGGCCAAATAATGTTTTATTCATCTCATGGATTTGCATTGTGAACTGATTTGAAAATAGTCCAATCACTCTAATTTAGTGAAAAGCTAATGTGATCACATCCCAAATTCTTCAAGATCAACTTTGCTTCTCAAACACAAAATCCATCCTAACCAGTGACATCATTTTTTTAGTTGTTTCACCAGTTTTTTAGTCAAGAGTTTGACTTGGAGCTCAATAATTATTTTGCTTATAAATCCTATATTTTGTGGTTCCTAGAATTTCTAAAAGTAGAATGGGAGGCAGATCTTTTAGTTCTCAGGCTCCTCTCCTGTGGAACCAACTACCAGTTTTAGTCCGTGAGGCAGACACCCTGTCTACTTTTAGGGCTAGGCTTAAAACTTTCCTTTTTGATAAAGCTTCTAGTTAGAGTGGTTCAGGTTATCCTGAGCTATCTCTATAGTTCTGCTGCTATAGGCTTAGACTGCTGGAGGACATAGGGACCCCTTTTTCATCATTCTGCTTCATTCTATCTCTATTCTCCCACTCTGCAGAATCTGTTAGTTCAATCTCTAACGTTCTGCTCTCTCTGCTTTTTCTCATAGTAGCTTCATCTGGTCTGTTCCTGTTTGGCTGTGACTCCATCCTGGAGAGAAATATCAGCTGTGCTGCTGCCATCAACACCTTTGTTTCTAGATGTTGGAGCTTGGCCTGTTTTCCAGTGTAGTCCTGTTTCTCTGACTGGGGATCTCTGTTCCCGTGCATAGAGATGTCTATATTTACAGTTGATTTATTAAAAATGCTTTTCAGTAAAAGTCAACAGCAATAACTCCAATAACAAACGATAATTTTATTCAACATGTATTTATTAAAAATGCTTAACAATTCCGGTAATGAATGAAAAGCCCAATGAAAGAAATAATGTCTCATCTAAACATCCCTCACTTAACAATAAAAGTTAACAATAACTCTCAACTCCCAATAACCAGAGATGGCAAAAGTACTCACTTTGCGTACTTGAGTAAGATACTTGTGTTAAAAAATACTCTGGTAAAAGTGGAAGTACTGATTAAACTTCTTTACTCAAGTAAAAGTAACAAAGTACAGGCTTGTAAATTTACTTAAAGTATAAAAGTAAAAGTAGAAACCACTTTTTTCATGCCGTTGCCTACATTTTAAATGGATGTCTGCCAATAGGACTAGATCTCCGTTGTGTTCATTTTCAATCATCTCGTCGTCCATGCTACTATGCTAACGCCACCGCCACCAAGCTGCAATGATTTGCCGCCAATGAATACCGCCGAATCTGTCGATTCATCTTGTAGTGGTGCGTCAAATGCAACGTAGATTCCCATCCAATTAGATTGAATTTGGTATTGATGACGTGAAAAATAATAACGGTAACTCCATTGAAATGATTCAAAACTAAAGTAACGAGCCAATTTTTTTAAATGTAAGGAGTAGAAAGTACAGATATTTGTGTAAAAACGTAAGGAGTAGAAGTAAAAAGTCGCCATAAAAATAAGTAGTAAAGTAAAGTAAAAATATCAGAAAAATCTAATACATTGGACACCGAGACATATGTGCCTGCTTTGCACACTGTGCACAAGGCGTCCCATTTGTCTCGACCCGGTCTGAAAGCAGGGAAACTCTTTTGTAAATTGTCGGTAAACATACATTTGCACCTTTGCATGTTGTTGGCGTATTGACGGCCACGCAATCTATATTCTGATTAAGAACAGGGCTGCCCGCACTGACGCGTGCAGGGATTACGTCACACGCAGCACCGTGCGCAGTGCCCTAGTGCCTGTAAATTTAATGGTCCAATTAAGGTAATTTAAAAAATCAGGACATTTCCTCACTTTCTAAAAAAAAAAACCGGGACGCCCAGGACAGGACGTGAAATACGGATGTTTGGTCACCCTATTAAAAGGGAGTTTTTCCTCTCCACTGTCGCTACAAGCATGCTTAGTGTGAGCAGGGGCGGATTAAGAAATTTTGGCCCCCTGGGCCTGACATGGTCTTGGCCCCTCAACCCCCCGCGTGCAAGAAATACTGTATACTGTGAACAGACATGCACACTGTCCTGTACAGAAGAGTGCACATACTGCACACACACTATTAGGTATACCACACAGACACTGACAAGCACAGGTTTCACACAGACACAGGGGGAGGGGATAAATGGCCTAAAAATAAACATTTTGGAAAATGATTATGCCCACTTCAGTGATGGTGCATTGGGTCATTTGAGAGATATTATGTATTGGAAGTTGGTAGCTATCATGAAATAAACCCCCCACCCCACCCAAAAAACTAAATCGGACATGATTTTTGCCCCCTTTTCCTCCCTTCTATCATTAAAAATAAAATAATATCTTAGGAAAACACTTTGGCATAACGGCAGCTGTGCAGCAAATTGAGGCTCAAAGTCTGTATCTATTTGTGGTTAAGCTTGAGGAGAAGGAGAGAGGTAAAATGATAACATGCATCGGAGAGCACCACAAAGAAAGGTGTAGGCCAGTTCATGGTACAAGGGCTGCATGCAGGTCAAGATAGCCCATTTCCAAGAATGCTATAGTGGCTGGACAGGCCCTGGACGTCCTGAAATCAGTGTCAGACGTGGCTGCCGAATACTTGGATGAAGTGAAGCAGCTGACAGATCTCATGCTGCCCCATCTGAAGACTGTCCTGGCCAGGCAGAGGATGGATGAGGAGACCTTCCCAATGGACCCTGTCAGTGAACAGGCTAGTAACATTGATGGCACCCCTGTGCACAACATTGGGATGGAGAGACAATGTGGCAAGGTGGACTACAAACTGAAGAAGTTGGGCACACTGAACGCAGTCAATAGGTCAATAATTTTACAGAAGTGCCAGGAGCTTCAGAGGTTTCAAGGCAGCAGCACAAGCAAAAAGGGAGGTTGAACTCAACTGGAGTAAATTCATGAAGGCAAAATTCGAGAGTAGGGCAGATGAGAAACAAGAGATGGCTCAAAGAAAGGAGAGTAAGAGACTAGACATGCTGGACACACTGAAATCTTTTGATGGCCCCTTCACGATAGTGGGGAAGTTGAAAAGTTCCTTGTGGATGAAAGTCTGCACAAGAATGCAAAGCTGCAGAGAATGAAGCTTGAGGTTCAGTTTGCCAGAGAAAGCACCAAGCTTCTGCCTAAAGTCAATCCTATCTTCACAATCCAGGTGACACTTCCCAGAAATGGCAAAAGTGCAATTCTCCAAGTCATAATGGATACTTAGAATTTTATGGTGGTGGTAAGTATTCATGAAAACAGGTAGCCTAACATTAGTGAATGGGTGAATTCTGGAAATAACCTAAAAATCTTACACAGTGCACCTTTAAGCAAGGGGTTTCTTTCGTGCTTTCAATTTTGCAAAATCATCCACCACATCATTGAAGTCCAACTCTCTTGTCAGCTCACTCTCAATTGCCATTAAAGATAACGCATTTAATCTTTTCTGAGTCATTCTTGTGCGCAGCTCATTTTTTACTCTTGACAAAAGAGAGAATGAGCGTTCTCCCTCACAGTTACTGACCGGTAGAGTGAGAAAAATCTGTAGCGCAATGTATGTATTAGGAAACGTAGGCTGTAGTCCAAAATGTATTATTGTTTTGAGCAGTCCTGAAAGGGTCCTCTCATCAGTGTTGTTGAGCTGTATAAAATATTTTAACTGTATAAGCTCCTGTCCAAGACTTTTATTGAGGTCAGATGGGTACGATTCAGTGAGAATCTTGGCCTTGTGAAGGACTGAAGCATTGGACTCTGTATCCAAAGAGAAAAGGACACTGAACAAATTGTTCAGATGTTTGTAGGCCTCCAGACGGTGATTAAGGCTTGAACTCAGTTGATCAATAGAGGCAATAAATGTCTCTATTTGAAACAGTTGCCTTCCCTCAAGCACGATTCATCAGCAAACTTTTTACGTTTCCTCGTCCGTTCAGCCCTGTAAGATGGGGTGCCACCCAACATGTTTAAGGCTTTCTGCTCAAAATGATCAAATAGATCTCTTTGGGAGAGAACAAAGGTGCGCAGAGATTCCAGCAATCTAACTGCTGTACCAAGGTCCATGTCTGCTTTTTGAAGTTGCAGACTTGTGGCCTGAAATCTCGACAGAACAGTGTCCCAAAAGCCTGCCATGAAGGCCATCTCAAGTGAATCCAGCTTCCGCACTAGACTGTCAGCTTCAGTTCGTGTGTCTCGTTTCTCTGTGTCATCAGTGGAAATAACCTGTAGTGCTGCTTTTATTTTACTGTAGTTCTGCCACAGTGCTTTGGTAGATTCTGCACGGCAACTCCAACGCGTGTTGGATAAAGCTTTAAGTGTGAGATCTATGTTGGAATTGCCAAATACCCTGTCC